TGAGATAAACACACAAATTTAAAACATGGCAAATACATGACATGATAACTTTCTATATGATCCTGTATGACTATTAAACAGACAGGATTTTAAACATTGCATTTATGAATTTAAAATAACACAAAGTGCTAAACTCAGGCTATTCCTATAATTTTCAATTAGTGTACAATAATGTATGTTCTGGAGATTTATGGTAGATTTCTAGTTATATGGTACTCTGATATCTGATCAATCATCATTGTGATCAATAACAGCCTTTACTGTAAAATGTTAACTGTTCATTACAACTAAGGAATTTGACAACATGTTGTCATTGACAAGATCAGAATTCATCTGAACATCAGTATCAATTAAATCGAGTGCCAATGCCGAGGCATTCAAAATCGATGAAATGACTTAAGCACTAACTAACCCTGACATGACCCAAATCAGGATAAAACAGCCGCCCTGCCTACAAGTCCTCTATTAAATTATAATGATAAAATTTGATTTACATTCAATAGCGTCTTTTTAATCATAGCTCTCCAGTAACAAAAATCTTATCTAAATGAAATTGCAACAAATCGATCAGATTCTCTGGAGAGCTTCATTCTTTTATTAAAAATTGTATGCTTCTCCCAAGGAATGAAAACTGGATTTTATTGATGAGTGAACCAAATACCAAAAAGCAAGCATACCTAATTACAAGAACCACTTCCAATCTGTGTAGACTTTTATTATTACTTAAGTACATTTCGCATTGGCCCAAAGTCAACTCCTTGTTTTCAGAAATGAAATCCAATGTAAACATTGCTGGTCACATTGACTACCATAGGTCGCCGACTACCATAGATCGCCGACTACCGTAGGTCACCGACTACCGTAGATCACAGACTACCGTCGATCATTGACTACCATAGATCGCTGACTACCGTAGATCATTGACTACCGTAGATCACTGACTACCGTAGATCGCTGACTACTGTAGATCACTCCTGTAATGTTAGGGTTAGCTGGGTGGTGTTAATGCAGGTAATGCTTCAATGGTGTGGAACTGTTTACTGAAGTCATTTCTAGAAAATATCAACAAATATATCTATCAAATGGTTTGGGTTAACATAAACTTTGTCATGGCTTTACATTTATGTATAAACCCTTTCTAAATTAATCAATCACTTAGAAACTTTATCAAACATGTACCTCTTTCATCCATATTTATTTGAGCTTATAATATTATTAATGATGATTCTGAAAAGTATAGAAGAAAATCTATATAAACGATAAAGCTTGTGTAATTCTGGGCCCAGTTGTTGATTATACTAAATCGCTATAACGTTAATATACCAATATCAATTAAAATTTAAATGTGTTGTCATCATTCAGATGTTGATTTTGAATCCCTACATATATATATCAATGATGTTTTGTGGTGTACTAAAAGTTACAGTAATTTTATTGTACATAAATCTATAAAATGTTACAAGTACTTTCTATTGAATCAACTGGTGACTATCCTTCTTAAGTTATAAAAACACATTTGGTTTTAACATCAACTGTCAGCTTTCAAGCTAAGTAAGAAGGATGAGGTCAAACGATGAGGGAAAAAATTTATCGAGCATCACACGATTAGGCTTGCTCTAAAAATAACTATTGATTTTCTGTTATAAAATAAAACAAATGCTGACTAAACATTAAAGTGATGCCGACCATTGATTAAACATTGAAGTGAGGCCTGCCATGAACTATTGACGTTAAATAGAGGACTGCAACGGACTACATACTAAACTAGAGGCCTGTCATGGACTATTGAAATTAAATAGAGGACTGCAACGGACTACAGACTAAACCAAAGGCCTGTCATGGACTATTGACAAGAAGCAGAGGACTGCAACGGACTACATACTAACCTAGAGGCCTGTCATGGACTATTGACATGAAGTAGAGAACTGTAACGGACTACATACTAAACTAAAGGCCTGTCATGGACTATTGACATTAAATAGAGGACTGCAACAGACTACATACCAAACTCAAGGCCAGACATGGACTATTGACATTAAATAGAGGACTGCAACGGACTACATACTAAACTAAGGGCCTGACTTGGACTATTGACAAGAAGTAGAGGACTGCAACGGACTACATATTAAACTAAAGGCCTGTCATGGACTATTGACATGAAGTAGAGAACTGCAACGGACTACATACTAAACTAAGGGCCTGACATGGACTATTGACAAGAAGTAGAGGACTGCAACGGACTACATATTAAACTAAAGGCCTGTCATGGACTATTGACATGAAGTAGAGAACTGTAACGGACTACATACTAAACTAAAGGCCTGTCATGGACTATTGACAAGAAGTAGAGGACTGCAACGGACTACATACCAAAATAAAGGCCAGACATGGACTATTGACATTAAATAGAGGACTGCAATGGACTACATACCAAACTAAAGGCCAGACATGGACTATTGACATTATATAGAGGACTGCAACGGACTACATACTAAACTAGAGGCCTGTCATAGTCTATTGACAAGAAGTAGAGGACTGCAACGGACTACATACCAAACTAGAGGCCTGTCATAGTCTATTGACAAGAAGTAGAGGACTGCAACAGACTACATACTAAACTACAGGCCTGTCATAGTCTATTGACAAGAAGTAGAGGACTGTAACGGACTACATACTAAACTAGAGGCCTGTCATAGTCTATTGACAAGAAGTAGAGGACTGCAACGGACTACATATTAAACTAGAGGCCTGTCATGGACTATTGACATGAAGTAGAGAACTGCAACGGACTACATACTAAACTAGAGGCCTGACATGGACTATTGACATGAAGTAGAGGACTGCAACGGACTACATACTAAACAAGAGGCCAGTCATGGACTATTAACATGAAGTAGAAAACTGCAACGGACTACATACTAAACTAGAGGCCTGTCATAGACTATTGACAAGAAGTAGAGGACTGCAACGGACTACATATTAAACTAGAGGCCTGTCATGGACTATTGACATGAAGTAGAGGACTGTAACAGACTACATACTAAACTAGAGGCCTGTCATGGACTATTGACAAGAAGTAGAGGACTGTAACAGACTACATACTAAACTAGAGGCCTGTCATGGACTATTGACATGAAGTAGAGGACTGCAACGGACTACATACTAAACAAGAGGCCAGTCATGGACTATTAACATGAAGTAGAAAACTGCAACGGACTACATACTAAACTAGAGGCCAGACATGGACTATTGACATGAAATAGAGGACTGTAACGGACTACATACCAAACTAAAGGCCAGACATGGACTTTTGACATTAAATAGAGGACTGCAACGGACTACATACTAAAATAGAGGCCTGTCATGGACTATTGACATGAAGTAGAGAACTGCAAAGGACTACATACTAAACTAGAGGCCTGTCATAGACTATTGACAAGAAGTATAGAACTGTAACGGACTACATACTAAACTAGAGGCCTGTCATAGACTATTGACATGAAGTAGAGGACTGTAACGGACTACATATTAAACTAGAGGCCTGTTGTGGACTGTTAAAAACATTAAATAGAGGACTGCCATTGAATACACACTAAACTAGAGGCCCGACATGTACTATTTAAACAATAAGGAAAGGTCTGCCTTTTACCAAATATTAAACTTTAGAGTTTAGGCCATCCATGAAGTTGAATAGTAAAACATTAATGAGATACTTGCCATGATGCCATCAGTTTTAAAAATTAAAGAGGCCTATCACTAACTAAATATTACACAGATCTGACATTGACTTAATATTATTAAAAGACTTGCCTAAGCTTCACAACAGTTCTGCTGCTAACTTAATATTATGCTAGTCCAGCGACTGACTAAACAATATATACTGAGGTTTGTCAATCCCACTGAATGAAAAGACAGGACTACCCCTGAATCAACATTTATAGCAGAGTCAAGCCACTGACTTAACATTAGAGAAGGTATACTTTTGCATAAACAATAGACAGTGGTCTGTTGTTCTTTAACCATTGAAGAGACCCGTGCCATTGACCGACTAAAACAATGGCCTTTCATTGGACACTAATATGCCTGCAATTGATAGTTGTCAGGATATTATCAATTAATAATTAAGACATCCCTATATGTGAGGAAACAGTATGTGATGGTGCAAATATGGATGTTCTGATGAATATGTCGAATTTTTTTATATTACAAAAAAATCATTAAATATTTCAAATATCTATTCAAAAAAGACTAAAATTAATAGAAAAAAATATTTTCACAGACCAAGGCATTATTGTGGTAAATATTCTTTCAACTTGTAGGATAGCATTTTATGAAGGTTCATTGACAAATGACATCTTATATTGGGGATTTAAATGATTACATGTCTTACCGTCTAACATAATAAATAAACTGTAAAACATTGATCATATATATTCCCCAATCCTAGCACGGATTTGTAACGTACTTATTAAGGTATACCATCGACGTCATTTGTTGTAATTGGTAAACACGTAATACGACATTGTGTCAACTCTCAAGTCGATGACATCCACCACATGCACGTGAACTGTCTTGTCAGTGTCAAATTGACATGATAGGAACATATCAAAAACATTTTCAAAATTGTATGGAAAAATGCAAAAGAAAAAGTTATATTTCCTTTAGTTATCTGTCATTTCAATAAAATGTGTTACTTACATTGAGTGCAAGGTTTTTCTTCAACTTTGTATGTGATGTCGCAGAATAACTTTTCCAAGCGAATACACACACCGCTCACTGCACGTTCATGCGTACCGGAAGTTGTTTTCTGTCTTATAAACATTAGCTCCGTGTAGAAATATATCAGAAAATAATACCTCTGCCTTTAAAATCAAATTTTACTACGATTACAAAACGCATATTTTTTATTCTTTTTTCTTTGTTCTCAATATTATTTTACATGCTGGATAAATTATTATTTACTGAAATGATTGCGCAATCTATTCACTGCAGACCTGAAAAATGGCAGCCTCCATGATGAACGTGGAGCATCCGATAAAACGAAGTTTTGAGACAATTTGATGACATATTTGACCGAAATATTTCCAAATATTTGAGCACATACCTTTTTAGACGAATATGGCGTCCTCGTCACAAAGATCAGCACTGACAGCTGACGATCATCTCGATGAGGAATATGTCAAGTACCTCCAGAAACAGCTCTTGCTAACCAATGGTAGATTTGAGTGATTATGGCTGTTTATGAATTGTATTTATATCAACTTCACTTGAAACGACTAAGGATGATTAAAATAAAAATGTTGTAAAACAGTTTTGTGTGTTATGCATATTGGCTTAAATTGCTTTATTATACACTGAACTAATATGAAAATAATAAAACAAAACATTTCTTTAAATTATTACCACCAACTTTGTGACTGCTTATAATGAGATAATGCCTACTGAATTCATTTGGATAAATGTAACATTTATACGCTAGTCACCAACAATAAACCATCTAGTCATTATGATTAATATGTAATGTAATGCCAGCTCATGTTTTTGGAAAGGGACATAATTGGGGTAAGAACAAAATCAGGAATATTAACAGGAATGTTATGAAAATATGTATAAAAAAATCTTCTATAAGAAATTATATATTTAGAACTATGAAAATCAGTTGAAATGTTTTCAATGATTGAAAAGCATTTTTTTTCATGTTTCACCACGAAATTAGAATTCAGTCGGTGGCTTCACAAGCATTGGTCTAGTAATCTTGTCAAAGGAATTTGATCTGGTCGACCATTGTCTTATAACAATTAAAAGCGAAGAAAAACTTCAAATAAGACTATATTAGCCATACACAACTAAGCAGGACTAAAACATTTCACCCTACACACTTGTTAAAGGTGAATCAACTTAGTGTGAAACAACCACAGGCAAACGAAGCTTAAAGATTAATTTCATGTCTTTTGTTGTAAACTTGTGTTTATCATTATCAAATGTCTATCATAGTTGTAAACATCTACTCATTATTAAAAAACATATCAATTTGTTTTTTATTTATATACGTGTACTTATATCAAGCTGGATTTGATATACATGTGCTTCATTTATAGCTGCGAGAACCGTAGCTTCTATGTCCGATTTTTTATTTTTTTTATTAATTTTATCGGACCTATAACAATAAAAAAAATAAAAAAATCGGACATAGAAGCTACGGTTCCCGCAGCTACTTCATTTATTGACGTAGAGTGCCTCCAAAATACATTATAAACTGTCCAATATCCACAGATAAGCTTTCATTTAATAAACAAAATATATTTTTTATTGTAGAACAGGGTGGTTTTATGCTGGAATTGAGACTGCTGTTTGGAAAAAGTGATGTCAAGGAACAAATACCAATATTAAAAGATGTAAGTGAAAGATTTAAGTTTATTTTGTTTATGTTCATATGATTGCTTACTTAATATGTTAAATGACAATAAATGTCAGTACTACACTGCTATTAACTGTTACTCCAATCACAGATTTTGTGGGGAGGGGGTCAAAGCCCCATTCTGTTACTCCAATCACAGATTTTGTGGGGAGGGGGTCAAAGCCCCATTCTGTTTGCTCCAAAATTGTTTGAGGTTTTAAACGGCAAGATACTCTTGACAAATGTCATATAACCTCTTACTTCCAATGGGTGTTGTTCACAATGCTGACGATCAATTTTTCAAAGTTTGACTTTGACCAAATATAGCATATCCTTACTTGCATCTAAATGTTCAACAAGTGCCAATAAATATCCCTTTCCCCAAAATTCTTTTTTAACTCAGAAGAATTCTGTATCAAAAACATAAACAATCAGTATTATATTTCTCCCGACTTCAGGTGATAACTGCAACAGTTTACAAATGGTGAAATGAAAAATGACATGGTTCTTTTTGAGTTAGCTCACTCTTTCAAACAAACAAAAAGGGAAAATTAAGTCCTGCTTACTGAGAAATAAAGTATAGTCTGCTAACATCATTCAAAGTCCATTTTCTGTAATTGAGTTGTGTTATTTAATCATTGAGTTTTCTATTGTATAATAGATGTGTGCAGGTTTAAAAGAACAGCTGGCTGATGAGGAAATTACTTTACCATTGCAAGTATTGGTCAATGTCTATCTCAACTGTCAACCAAAACATCCAGTGAAGAGGATATTAGCCAGGTAGGAGAACAAAGGACAAGTGGAGCCTGAGCTGGTAACACTGTGGTATAGAGAGCTGGTAACACTGTGGTATAGAGAGCTGGTAACACTGTGGTATAGAGAGCTGGTAACACTGTGGTATAGAGAGCTGGTAACACTGTGGTATAGAGAGCTGGTAACACTGTGGTATAGAGAGCTGGTAACACTGTGGTATAGAGAGCTGGTAACACTGTGGTATAGAGAGCTGGTAACACTGTGGTATAGAGAGCTGGTAACACTGTGGTATAGAGAGCTGGTAACACTGTGGTATAGAGAGCTGGTAACACTGTGGTATAGAGAGCTGGTAACACTGTGGTATAGAGAGCTGGTAACACTGTGGTATAGAGAGCTGGTAACACTGTGGTATAGAGAGCTGGTAACACTGTGGTATAGAGAGCTGGTAACACTGTGGTATAGAGAGCTGGTAACACTGTGGTATAGAGAGCTGGTAACACTGTGGTATAGAGAGCTGGTAACACTGTGGTATAGAAGGAGCAATACTTGATAAATAATGTACAGAAATCCTCAATCATATCTCTTAACTTTTTGTTTAATATATTTCAAATTTAAATCCATATTCTATATGTTCCTTCGTTCTTTGTAGCACTTTCCAGAATTATCCCCCCTGTATCAGAGAGGGGTCTATGAAGGTGTTAACCACACAGCTACAAACAAAAATGACTGCCTGTCAGACAAACGCTAACTCAGGTGTAACTCAATGGAGGTCAGTTGTGGACATGGTGTCCAGTTTGATGGAGAACTTTAAACTCGGTAAGGATATAGCTTCATCATCAGAGCATACCTGGCAATGTCTGATAGATATATCATTGTGAGGATGCGGGGTTACAAATCTTTTCTGTTTCAGCCATTTCATTTCTGTCACAAGCTATCCATCCTAACAATATTATGAGGGCTTCATCTCTAAGGAATTCAAATGACAATCTCCTTTTATCTCCCTTTTATCTTCAATTTTATGGAAATATTGAATCTAATCTTCATGTTTAACTGCATCATGTACTGTGTTCCCTTCAGATATCCTACATAAACTATGGAGGAACCGTTAGAGCCCAATAAACCCCTATTCCGCCCCAGACCTCCTGGTCTTATTTTTGGGTACAACTGACAGAATTTGATAAATAATTTGCATATAATTTTACTGGAATAGTCATTAAATAAGTAAACTTTTATTATGTTTTGTAGGTGAAAACTGTCTCCAACTTATGAGTTTACCAGGTAAGTTTACTGGTGGATTGAAACAAAATATAAGGTTATATGTTCCTGTAGCACCCAACAAACTTGACTTTAAAAAGTGACTATTACACTTTATGTTTACAGTAATGTATGAATGAGACAGAATAATTATAACACATCACAGTTTATTGTACTGGCATCACAATGTTATGCTAACAGTATGCTCCACAAGTCACTGTTGTTCTGTCAGCATATCCTGCTGATTTTGTCATTTAACAGATAATTTCATATTTGAAGTTTACTTTTGATGAAATCATCTGTATAATGGTTGTGTGCAAGGGTGAATATAACTTGAAATAGTAGTACCAGGTATGTTTTTATCAAAATTGACGTTGATATAATTTTTCTCTTCCAGTGGTGAAGTTTCTGGGTGAAGCACTGTCTCGGTTCATCAAACTTTTCAGGTATCAAATAATTTTGTCATTCACGTCTGAAATGTGTGTAGTGTGATTTTAGAGGTTGCACTGTCATCAGCTCTGTGAGTCTCGTGTCTAGAGTAAGTTTACGGCTATCCACAGAGTTCCTTTTATTCCTGTCGTTAATAAAACTTTATTTTTTCAAATTCCTTAGTCAAACATCTATGTCTCACTGGGGCAGTGTAATTTATGTCTCACTGGGGCAGTGTAATTTATGTCTCACTGGGGCAGTGTAATTTATGTCTCACTGGGGCAGTGTAATTTATGTTTAACTGGGACAGTGTAATTTATGTCTCACTGGGGCAGTGTAATTTATGTCTCACTGGGGCAGTGTAATTTATGTTTAACTGGGACAGTGTAATTTATGTCTCACTGGGGCAGTGTAATTTATGTCTCACTGGGGCAGTGTAATTTATGTTTAACTGGGACAGTGTAATTTATGTCTCACTGGGGCAGTGTAATTTATGTCTCACTGGGGCAGTGTAATTTATGTCTGTAATGTTGTAATTATTATTGTTTATTACAGCTCCAGCATGTCTCCTGTCAAGCGAAACGAAATGATGCACAATTGCCTTGCAACTTTACAAACAACCAATAGAATGCTGCAGAAATGTCACATGACTTTACTAGAGACTTTGACTGAATCTGAGTCACAGAAATGTTTCCAAGAATATGCTGGAACATTTATGGCATCAAATATGGAAATACTAAAATCAGGTAAGTTTATTTTTTTCAACAAGTTAGTGTTTTTCATTCAGTGCTCTCTGATCACAAAATCATCATTTATGTTTGGATTAAAATGTGTGATTGACAAAAGGTATTTTGACCAAATTTAGTAGAACCATGCATCATGACAACTTTTGTGACCTTCACACGAAGCTGAAGGTCACAGCTGAGTCAAAATCCCAAATAAATAGGGAGTTTTCCGTGTGATTTCTTGTCCGGCCAATAACATCTTAATTGCTGAATATAATTTGACAGACTCTTGACTAAGGAATGTTTGCCTTTTCCCACCTTCATTACCTTCATATTCAGGTTAAGGTCATAATTAGTCTTTGTTTAATGTTCTGCCAAACAAAAAAAACCAGAGGAAGTTGAGAAATTCTGTTGCAACACTTTTTATTTATATTTTGTAGGTAACTTTATGTTGGACTGTAAGACAAGCTGTGGTATGAATCTAGCCTTGCTGCTCAAACTGATCTGCCCACAGGAGGTTGTCACCCAGGTAACCAAACATTGGGGTCAGGTTAGGTCCTTATTAGAAGATCTGAAATACTTGATTTCAAATGTTTATTGACTGCCTTTACGAGGACACTTACTACATGTTTTTAGCTCACCTTGTCCGAAAGACCACGGTGAGCTTATGCCATACCGTGGCGTCCGTCGTCGTCCGTCCGTCAACAATTTCTTTTAAACGGCTTCTTCTTCTTAACCACTGATTGGAATTTAACTAAATTTGACTGGAAGCATCCCTAGGTGGTGGGGATTCAAAATTGTACAAATGTTGGGGCTAACCCCCCAGGGGGCTGATGGCGGGGCCAAAACGGGGCAATTTGGCTATATTGCTATAAACGACTTCTTCTGTAGAACTATGCCATGGATATCAATCGTATTTGGTCGGAAGCATTCATGGGAGGCAAGGATTCAAAATTGTACAAACAGTGGGGCTGACCCCCCGGGCTAAGGGGTGGGGCCAAAAATGTTTATTACTTGGAAATGGTTGAGATCCCCACCATATAACCATATATACAATTGCTGAGTATAAAGAGAAGAATGCACATTTGCTTCCAGGATGGCCCTAGGGTCTGGCCCCACGCTTGGAGACATAGTCCCTGGGCCATAACTTTGAAACGGTTGAGATCCCCACCCCAAAACTATATATACAAATGCTGGACATAAAGAGACGAATGCAGTCATGATATTAGGATAGACCCTGGGGTCTGACCGAACCCCTAGGGACCTAGTTTCTTAGTCACAGCTTGGAAACAGTTGAGATGCCCACCCTATAACCATATATACCATTGCTGAGTATAAAGAGATGAATGCACATATACTTCCAGGATGGTCTTGGGGACTACCCCACCCTTGGATACTTCACCCCTGGGTCATAACTTTGAAATGGTTAAGATCCCCACCCCAAAATTATATATACAATTGTTGCATGGCATAAAGAGACGAATGCAGTCATGATATTAGAATTGACCCCAGGGTCTGCCCACCCTTGCAGACTTAACCCCTGGGTCATAACTTTGAAAGGGTTGAGATCCCCACCCAAAAAATATATATATACAAATGCTGGGCAAAAAGATACAAATGCAGTCATGATATTAGAATTGATCCTGGGGTCTGGCCAAAACCCTAGGGACCTAGTTTCTGAGTCACAGCTTGGAAACAGTTGAGATCCCTACCCTATAACCATACGTAAAATTGCTGGGCATGAAAAATCTAATACAGATATGCTACAAGGATTAGCCTTGGGGGTTTGGCATATTCCCTTGGATCTCATTTGGAGAATATTTTGCCATGATTGCTTAGATATCCAGGTGAGCGATACAGGCCCTCTGGGCCTCTTGTTTTGTTTCAAACCCCATTGAGACAAACTCAAGGTCACAATGAAGTATAATGTTAAGTCATTGTAATTTTGGTTGCATACTTTCCTTGTTACAGTTTCATGAAAATTTATGCCTGATGCATAATGACTGGACAGTATATCATATACCACTCTCTTGTCTGTAGTTCCAAGGTCAAGGTCACAGCAAGAGCTCAAATTAGAATTACTATAAATCATATAATGCTTGTTGGAACCAAAACCACTGAACGACTACTCATCATATCTAGACATTATGAACTCTGAATGACTTACATGAAAGTCCATAAAAAACTGTTTCATGTACCACTCTTGTGTCTTTACTGTCATGATCTAGATCACATTGACTGTTTCAGCTATTACCGACTGTATTCCGGAGACCTGTAGTCCAGGCCCTACAGTACCCCTGGTTTGAGCGGTGTGGCCTATATACCCTGACCAACAACACACTGACCCCCACCGGTCATCTTTGTCTCTGTCATGGTCTCTTTGCGCTACTTGACCCAGCTGACCTCCTTTATGAGTTCACAGACAACACCTGTCTCCTACTGGACGTTTTCTTAGACGAGTTTCTCCAGCTGAATTCTCAGTATGTTTCATCATGTTCTATTTCCAATGTCTTCTTAAGATACAAAAATCTGAAAAGTCAAGTTTCACAAGGCAAAATTAATGCATTATTAAAATTTCTGTAGTATGAGAGTTCAGGTATTTTCCTTTCATGTACTTCATCTACATTTGCACATATTGTTAGTTGATATATGCAGTTTTGCTCATTGCTCTTACGTAAATTTCAGTTTTAAGGGTGTTGTTACTTTCAGGTGTGAGGACACGAGCAGTAAGTTACTACTGGCTAAGTCTGTATGTCTGTGGACTGTCCGGGCCAGGTAGGACCACTTAGTTTAAAACAAAGTATTCATGGCCTAATACCATAACTTCAAGACAATGTCATCAATCTGATATAAAATAAGCATGCATAAGGATAATTTATATTGTAAAAATATGAATTTATAGACATGTATATTCCAATAAAATGCAATTCACTGTTCTTACTGATCTATATGCCTAACCAAATTTCACAGTTGAAGTTAAATCAATGAAATCTTCTTTCCCAGTTGAGTAGCTGACTTGATTAGATATTATTACTAATTTATTTTACTTATTTCATGGTTTAACAGTGCTTGTTTGAAAACTGATTGTGTCTCTCCTGCTGTGAGGTCAAGGTTGAAAGGTGAAGAGGTCACTCTACAGAAAGTCCTACAGTATGTATGGGCCACTTGGGAGGATACTGTGGACGTAAGATCACATTCTACTCAAATAAAATGAAATAAAAAGACTAAAATTTTAGGAATTATCAGTTAATTGGTAATCGTAATATGACAAAATTTCCTTTTTTTTTTTTTTTAATATGTCAAACATATCATTTTCAGCTTGTAAGCATAGATAAAATAGAAGTTATGTTTATGAAATGTATTCTATCTATCTGTCTGTCTGTTAAACTCCACAGAGACTAAAACGGCTTTAATGCGGAAAATAAAATTTTCTTTTGTAGGCAATAAGGTTAAATGCAAGGGACACATTTACAAATTCACTGAAAGTTCACTCACTGGCTCAGCAGACTGGTAAGATAATGCTTGACCTAATTAATGTACAAATATATGTTAGAAATAATTGATTATTGTATAGCAATTTGATGATGTAGCTTAAACATTTCAGATTTGTTTCTGAAAGTAAACACATACAATTATAAGGGAATAGATTCCGTGAAACACCTTTAACTATCAATAAGACTATTTAACTCTCTATAATGAAGGCAATGAAATTGTAGGATTCACAAAAGAGTTCTTTCTATATCAAGTATGTAAAATTCCTCTTTAGTATAAATAAAAAAGAATCTCGTTGAAAAAATAGGGGTTTTGTTCAATTTTGAAAAAAGAAACATTTGTTGCAGCCCAATTGAATTTTCTTCTTTTGGAATTAGATCCCAGCCAGGACAGGTTTCTGCTGGAACTTGCCCGTACTCTCATTCTCGACATCAGCTGGTCATGCAAGGGGAAGTATGGCAGTCTGTGTGGAATTGTGGGATATGTTGGCACCTCTCACTTCCTGTCAGTTTTACCCAGCATGCCCAGGGACATCCTGGAGCAAATGAAGGAACAAACCTTAGCCTGTTATGTGAGTGGAAATAAAGAAATCTTATTTCTACATGATAAAGTTTGATGCTTTACTTCGTTATTAGAACATAATTCTCCAGATGATCTGATATTAAATAAGAAATGCTGTAAAAGCACAAAGAATCGTTAAAAGTATATTTTATTAATACTGGGTAGTAATTTAGTTTTGAATAGTAAATTGGTCACGCATTTGAAAACATTTCAAGAAAAAATGAACAAAATTTTATAATTATTAAGGGAGATTTCTCAGACATGAATCACAAGTAAAACCGTAAAATGAGTAAGGTAGCATTTAACCTCAAGTCACTTTCTTGGATCACAACATTACCTGGTAGTAAGAGTTATCACATGGTGTGTGAGCTAACCTGAGTTTGATAAACGGACATCAGTACACATGTACTTTATCGTAGTTCGTAATGTGTACGTAAGCTGTTAGGTTTTGAATTTGTTCTTATTCCATTTAACGGTTTAAGTAGTAGTGTAGAGTAGTACAGACAACAGGTGTTTCAAATATAAACGAGGTCAGATGTTCCAGTTAGCGGTTTAAGTAGTAGTGTAGAGAAGTACAGACAACAGGTGTTTCAAATATAAACGAGGTCAGATGTTCCAGTTAAGGGAGGAAACTTATAAGAATGGAACCAATCTTCTGTTTGAGTTTGGTGGGTTTGGATGTATCAGTGTTCAACACATCAGGATTAAATCACTATGATATCTATAGGGAAGTTACTGGGACTAGGAAGCCTGTTTGGGTTTGGTGGGTTTGGATGTGTCAGTGTTCAACACATCAGGATTAAATCACTATGATATCTATAGGGAAGTTACTGGGACAAGGAAGCCTGTTTGGGTTTGGTGGGTTTGGATGTGTCAGTGTTCAACACATCAGGATTAAATCACTATGATATCTATAGGGAAGTTACTGGGACTAGGAAGCCTGTTTGGGTTAGGAGGGGTGGGGGTATTATTCACACCCAAGTTTGACTATAGCAGGTTTTACTGTATTTACTTAGCCAATAACTCAGGTGTGAGGTACACACATTTCTGAAATCATGTCATCATTGTCATTTAATTAGATTGTGATGTGACAGGCATTATACGGCTACATTGATTTCACTTGAGAGATTTGTCAGTTTATATGCAGAAAAAATAATTGATTTCAATATTATATTGTATCTTTCAATAGATGTGATCAAGCTTCAGAACGAAAAGAAAAACTTCAAACCATTCAATGTAACCATTTTCATAAGATCCTGAAGCACCTGTACTGAAAAAGTATCTGATCAATTGTCTATATAAAGGGTATAAACTACATTATTATGTATCTAGCTTTGTTATTCCCCAGGCCAGTGAGCTGTATCAGAGAATAGGCGAGACCCACAAGGGGGATCTGCATCTGATGGAAGGGCCCGACCACCAGACCACGTGGCTGAGCCTGTGGGTGGACCCTGTGCTGGAAGTACTGTCGGGCAGCCATAAACTCCACAAGCTACATGTTATGGAGGTAGTGATGCCATGTTCCATGAGTCCATTTCATCTGTTTTACAGGGGGACATTATCATTCAGTATTAGAAATTTTAGAAAGCTTAAGACATCTTATCTGGCCTGTCAATTCCAGTAGTTATCTTTGCAGCTTTACAATATGTAGTAAATTATTTTAGTAGAAATTGTTGTGTGGTTGTTGGGATTATTACATCTTCATATTTGTACTCACTAAGATTATAGTTATTATAGTTCAGCACATTAGGAGAAACAGGGAAATATTATATATATAAATAGGTCCCATGTAATTGGTAAATGTTATCCTTCCAGTACATCCTGCCCAAGCTATTGAAGGATGGAAAGGCGACACTCTATCACATGGTTCAGCAGCTGACCAAGAACACTGGAAAAGGTGGAGTAGCCATTTTCCAGTCATCCAAAAAATTGAAAATGATATAAATCTGGCAGATGACTGATAATAATAATAAATGTCTCTCCTTTCAAATATTGATGCTTTGATATTGTAGATTCCTCTGAACATCGCCTGGGAGCCTTAGTGACTTGTCTGAGGAGAGCTCGAGTTATGGGACTTCTTCAGAACCAGGAGTCAGGATCCCAGGAGTGCTTGTATGGAGCTGTCAGTGTTGCAGTAATCAAACAAGCTTTCCTGTGATCCTGACTTGCCTGTTCATCTGTGTGGGCCATGGCTTGTTTGATTACTACAACACTGACCACTCCATACAAGCATTCCTGTGATCCTGACTTTCCTGTTCATCTGTGTGGCCCATGGCCTGTTTGATTACCACAACACTGACAGCTCCTTACAAGCATTCCTGTGATCCTGACTTATCTGTTCATCTGTGTGAGCCATGGCCTGTTTGATTACCACAACACTGACAGCTCCATCCAAGCATTCCTGGGATCCTGACTTCCCTGTTCATCTGTGTGGCCCATGGCCTGTTTGATTGCTACAACACTGACAGCTCGATACAAGCATTCCTGGGAGGTAACACTCCGAAGGAACATAAAGAACAGGAAGACTAAACCAGATGATGGGGAGTCTTACAGAGCTTCACTTTACAGCTATATCACAGGAATGCTGGTATTGAGCTGTCAGTGTTGTAGTAATCAAACAGGCCCTGGCCCACACAGAGGAACAGGTACGTCAGGATCTCAGGAATGCTTGTATGGGGCTGTCAGTGTTGTAGTAATCAAACAGGCCATGGCCCACACAGATTAACAGGTAAGTCAGGATCACAGGAAAGCTTGTATGGAGCTGTCAGTGTTGCAGTAATCAAACAGGCCATGGCCCACACGGATGAACAGGTAAGTCAGGATCACAGGAATGCTTGTAAGGAGCTGTCAGTGTTGTAGTAATCAAACAGGCCATGGCCCACACAGATGAACAGGTAAGTCAGGATCACAGGAATGCTTGTATGGAGCTGTCAGTGTTGTAGTAATCAAACAGGCCATGGCCCACACAGATGAACAGGTAAGTCAGGATCACAGGAATGTTTGTATGGAGCTGTCGATGTTTTAGTAATCAAACAGGCCATGGCCCACACAGATGAACAGGTAAGTCAGGATCCCAGGAATGCTTGTATGGAGCTGTCAGTGTTGTAGTAATCAAACAGGCCATGGCCCACACAGATGAACAGGTAAGTCAGGATCACAGGAATGCTTGTAAGGAGCTGTCAGTGTTGTAGTAATCAAACAGGCCATGGCCCACACAGATGAACAGGTAAGTCAGGATCCCAGGAGTGCTTGTATGGAGCTGTCAGTATTGCTGTAATCAAACAGGCCATGGCCCACACAGATGAACAGGTAAGTCAGGATCACAGGAATGTTTGTATTGAGCTGTCAGTGTTGCAGTAATCAAACAGGACATGGCCCACACAGATGAGCAGGTAAGTCAGGATCACAGGAATGTTTGTATGGAGCTGTCAGTGTTGCAGTAATCAAACAGGACATGGCCCACACAGATGAACAGGTAAGTCAGGATCACAGGAATGTTTTTTAAAGTCAAACAGAAATGTCTGATGAATGAAACTGATTAAAAGTTAAGAAGATGTAGATTTTTAATATCATATTGAAATTAAGGTACTATGAAATGCTTACTGTCAGGAAACGGTTTGAATGTATCTGTTGATTTTTTTTTACCTTTTCACATGTGTCAGTTTATCAGCATCACCTATATAGACGTAACCTATCTTTGAAATGAAGCTCTGCCATTTGTGGTCTTTTCCAATGATAGATTTGATGTCATTGGTTCAATTACTTCTGATCACAACAGGTGAGACTGGATGTAATAGCCCTACTTTGTGAGAATCAGAGGTCAACTGAGGTCATCAGTAAAACTGAATTTGATTTGCTGAGACAATTCTTACCTTGGAACCTCAACAACCAATCACCATCATTCAGACAACACCTGCTGGCCCACCTAAAAAAGGCAGGTTTACATCGGTTGCTAGTAGATGACTTAATGTCCTTACCAAATAGTAATAGTTTTATAATATATATCCAATTAATGCAAGTCACTGTTTACCTCTGGTATAATTTTAAAATATATTTTTCTTTGTAAAGAGATTTGATCACAGTTTTCAAGTACTGGTCTCTTCAGATTATTTTTATTCCATCTGATTTTAATGAGTAATTTGAAAGAAACAAAGTGGTTTAAATGAGTGTTTTCAGTAATGTGTCTGATTTAAATATAAATAAATATACATATCTCACATATCTAATATGTTGAGTAAGAAGATGGGAGTTGACATACCCTGCACCTGGTGTATGTACCTCAGCACAGCCCTGAAGTAGTAAACCTTATGTATGTACCTCAGCACAGCCCTGAAGTAGTAAACCTTATGTATGTACCTCAGCACAGCCCTGAAGTAGTAAACCTGATGCTAGTTGTTGGTTACAGTTGTTTTTTAGACTACAAGAAAGCCAGGTAACACTCCGAAGGAACATAAAGAACAGGAAGACTAAACCAGATGATGGGGAGTCTTACAGAGCTTCACTTGACAGCTATCAGGTACTATTATACCTCATATTTATAACAGCGTGTTTGATTGGATGATAATGGTCACATGACAGGATAATGACACATCATGTCGCCCTCATACACTCATGTTAAACTAAGAAATAAAAGTTGGTTTAACAATCCCAACGCATAAACAATGATTCCTTTTTTGAATGTCTCTACAGGATTTTGTGGCCTGGTTAGTGGAACACCAGTTCCTGTGTCTGTCCGGCTCATCCTTCGCCCGTCGCACCACCTGTCTGTCCATCCTGTCACTGGTCACTACAGCTCTTCCTTACACTGGTAGGTCTCCCTTACACAGGTAGATCTCCCTTACACAGGTAGGTCTCCCTTACACAGGTAGGTATCCATTACATATGTAGATCTCCCTCACAAAGGTAGGTCTCCCTTACACAATTAGGTCTCCCTTACACAGGTAGGTATCCATTACATATGTAGATCTCCCTCACAAAGGTAGGTCTCCCTAACAAAGGTAGGTCTCCCTTACACAGGCAGATCTCCCTTACACAAGTAGGTCTCCCTTACAGAGGTAGGTATCCCTTACACAGGTAGGTCTCCCCTACACAGGTAGATCTCCCTTACACAGGAAGGTCTCCCTTACACAGGTAGGTATCCATTACATATGTAGATCTCCCTCACAAAGGTAGGTCTCCCTTACACAGGCAGGTCTCCCTTACACAGGAAGGTCTCCCTTACAGAGGTAGGTCTCCCTTACACAGGCAGGTCTCCCTTACACAGGTAGGTTTCTCTTACACTGGTAGGTCTCCCTTATACAGGTAGGTCTCCCTTACACAGGCAGATCTCCCCTACACCGGTAGGTCTCCCTTTCACAGGTAGGTCTCCCTTACACAGGTAAGTCTCCCTTACACAGGTAGGTCTCCCTTATACAGGTAGGTCTCCCTTACACATGTAGGTCGCCCTTACACAGGTAGGTCTCCCTTTCACAGGTAGGTCTCCCTTACACAGGCAGGTCTCCCTTACACAGGAAGGTCTCCCTTACAGAGGTAGGTCTCCCTTACACAGGCAGATCTCCCTTACACAAGTAGGTCTCCCATACACAGGTAGGTCTCCCTTACAAAGGTAGGTCTCCCTTACACAGGCAGATCTCCCTTACACAGGAAGGTCTCCCTTACAGAGGTAGGTCTCCCTTACACAGGTAGGTCTCCCTTACACAGGTAGGTCTCCCTTACAAAGGTAGGTCTCCCTTACACAGGTAGGTCTCCCTTACACAGGTAGGTCTCCCTTACACAGGTAAGTCTCCCTCACAAAGGTAGGTCTCCCTTACATAGATAGGTCTCCCTCACAAAGGTAGGTCTCCCTTACACAATTAGGTCTCCCTTACACAGGTAGGTCTCCCATACAAAGGTAGGTCTCCCTTACACAGGTAGGTCTCCCTTACATAGATAGGTCGCTCTCACAAAGGTAGGTCTCCCTTATACAATTAGGTCTCCCTTACACAGGTAGGTCTCCCTTACACAGGTAGGTCTCTGTTACACAAGTAGGTCTCCCATACACAGGTAGGTCTGCCTTACACAGGTAGGTCTCCCATACAAAGGTAGGTCTCCCTTACACAGGTAGGTCTCCCATACAAAGGTAGGTCTCCCTTAGACAGGTAGGTCTCCCTTACACAGGTAAGTCTCCCTCACAAAGGTAGGTCTCCCTTACCCAATTAGGTCTCCCTTACACAGGTAGGTCTGCCTTACACAGGTAGGTATCCCATACAAAGGTAGGTCTCCCTTAGACAGGTAGGTCTCCCTTACACAGGTCGGTCTCCCTAACACAGGTCGGCCTCCCTTACACAGGTCTCCCTTATACAGTTAGGTATCCCTTACATAGGTAGGTCTCCCATACACAGGTCTCCCATACACAGGTCTCCCATACACAGGTAGGTCTCCCATACAAAGGTAGGTATCCCTTACACAGGTAGGTCTCCCATACACAGGTCTCTCATACACAAGTAGGTCTCCCATACAAAGGTAGGTATCCCTTACACAGGTAGGTCTCCCTTACACAGGTCAGTCTCCCTTACACAGGTAGGTCTCCCTTACAAAGGTAGGTCTTCTTTACAGAGGTGAACATTGTAACAATAATTGCTTGATATTTTCATAAATATGAATTGAAAATCCAGTTATTAAAATTGAGGAAGTATACTGTATCCCCACCATTGTATGAAAACATGCACCTCTCACAGTGTGATTTCAAAGAAATCAAAGTGAAGCGTTGTCTTGGTATTGACCTTTAGTATTTTGTTCCCCAGGAGATGACCTTGGGTTTGACCTTGTAGGCTGTGTTCATTCCCCACATCTCCAGTCCCTCTTGGAGTGTCTTACTGACACCTTTGAGGAAAACAAGATGGAGGCCACAAAGATCCTACAGTACTGTTGTCAGCACATTGGAGGCAGACAGGTAAAGCTCTATTTGAGTGTGCCCTATTATTTAAAGTTTTTAGACTGTAATTTTCTCATTAAAACTTGAAGAAAAGGCTTTCAAAAATTAATTTTGTTTAATCAACCTTTGGTAGCACTTGTAATTCTAATTTATGTATGCATGTAATCAGAGATGGAGTTAACTGTACTGTAGTTGGTCATTGTTTTCTACAGGGAGTTTCAGATTTAGAGCCTCTCTTTGACACAGCCTTGACCTTGGCAGCATCAACACGACCCCAGGACTGTACCACTGCTGCATATCTCCTCAAAGTTATTCTGGTCCAACAAGAAATCTATGACATTCTGAAAAACTCTGACAGATATCAGTCCAAACTCTTCCTAACAAAGCACAGGGAAACCTTCTGTCTGCCATCAGTGGACAACAACCAATCAGGACGAAGTCTACTGTTGCTATGGATACTGTTGTCATACCTACAGGACCAGAAGGAGGTTGCTAAGGGTAGTCTTATCATGGCCGCAGCTAATCGACCGCTGTATCCCACTCTACACTGTATCCGATACCTCCTGTTTGATGTGGCACTTAAGTAAGTTTTATTTCAATGTCTTTAATGTCTGTTAATCCAAGACACAATAGGTCAGTATAAAGCCAGAGTTTTACCTGACCTGTCATACATTAAGATTGAAAATGATTCAATGACACTTCATTAACATATATTTTACTAATTTACTGACATACTGCATGTCTGTTTTTAGCTTACCTAGCCCAAAGGGCCAAGTGAGCTTATGGCACGGTGCGTCGTCCGTCCGTCGGCGTCAACTTTTTACTTTAAACAACTTCTTCTCAATAACCAAGAAGCCCAGGCTGCTGATATTTGGCCAGTAGCATGCTGGAATGAAGGGCTACCAAGTTTGTTCAAATGAATTACCAAGACCCACTTCCAAGGTCACCAGGGTCAAATGTGTTAAAATCTGCAAACAGCTTCTTCTTGATAACAAAAATGCCGAGGGTACTGATATTGGGCTACTTAGTTTGTTCAAATGAATTACCAAGACCCACTTCCAAGGTCACAGGTGTCAAATGTCGTAAAATCTCCAAATGACTTCTTCTCAATAACAAATAGGCCGAGGGGACTGATATTGGGCCTGAAGCATGCTGGGATAAAGGGCTACCAAGTTTGTTTGATTGAGTGATCTTGATCAATTTTCAAGGTCACAGGGGTCAAATGTGTTAAAATCTGCAAACAACTTCTTCTCGATAACCAAAAGGCCGAGGGTACTGATATTGGGCCTGTAGCATGCTGGGATGAAGGGCTACCAAGTTCGTTCAAATTAATGACCTTTTCCCACTTTCAACCTAATGTCCTTGTTCAACATTCGAGGTCACAGGCGTCATATGTTTAAATCTTTTAATAGGTTCTTATGAATCAAACACTGATATTCTGCCTGTAGCTGTTATTTAGTCCACTATTAAGATTACAAGTGTAAGATTAATACCAGGTGAGCGATGCAGGCCCATTGGGCCTCTTGTTTTCAAACACACTTTTTTTTATTTTCAAACACACTTTTTTATCATACAAGAGAATATTTTACATAAATGTTTCAACTGGAAATGTTAAAAGTTGTTTTTTTAAATCTCAAATGTGTTACCATGGATACTGATAAACTGATTTACTGACAATTTTTCCCTGCTTCCCTGTAGAAATCTTCCTCAGGACCAGTCTCTTCCATATTGGCAGTCCTTCATACAAGACCTCATCACAACTTGTCTGGAAATTTCAGAGATTGTCTCCCCTGTTGTCCATAACACTTCGCCAGAGGGCAATGTACCTGTGGAGGCCATTGGGGGTAAAGTTTCTTTGTCATTTCATTAGCAAGTCTGTCAAGGTCAAACAAGATTAAATGATTAACTTCTCACAAAAGAAAATCTGCTAATATAAAGATTTATCAAAATAAAGATATTTTGCACTAAGATTCATATAGGTTTCTTTTAAGCAGGAGAAGGACAATTAACTACAAAGAGAAAGTCGTTTCAGATTGGTCAGTATAGACAGGCTTAATCTGTACATCTGTAGTAAATGTGTTACTGCAGATACTTAATCTAAAGGGACATGCTACTGGAACTAACATCAACATGTTGCTATGGCCACTATGCATTGGAGATCTTGGAGAGGTTGTTAAAGAAAGGATGTCAGTGTTGACAGTATGTCGTTATAAACAGGTTCCAATGTCCTGTTTCAGGCCTGAACCTGGATACTCTACTTCATCCTAACAGTTTGAAAGATGCTGAAAGGAGTAAAGAGACAGTGATGCTGATGCCGGAGTATCTTGTCGTCTGCTGCTGGAGAAACATCAAGGAGGTGTCACTCCTCCTGGGGCAGCTCAACCTTGCTACACCCATCTCTGACCCCCACAGGCCTGACTCTGGGGGACTTTTGTCATGTGATCAGGTAGGTTCTCTCACCTCCTGGGGCAGCTCAACCTTGCTACACCCATCTCTGACCCCCACAGGCCTGACTCTGGGGGACTGTTGTCATGTGATCAGGTAGGTTCTCTCACCTCCTGGGGCAGCTCAACCTTGCTACACCCATCTCTGACCCCCACAGGCCTGACTCTGGGGGACTGTTGTCATGTGATCAGGTAGGTTCTCTCACCTCCTGGGGCAGCTCAACCTTGCTACACCCATCTCTGACCCCCACAGGCCTGACTCTGGGGGACTGTTGTCATGTGATCAGGTAGGTTCTCTCACCTCCTGGGGCAGCTCAACCTTGCTACACCCATCTCTGACCCCCACAGGCCTGACTCTGGGGGACTGTTGTCATGTGATCAGGTAGGTTCTCTCACCTCCTGGGGCAGCTCAACCTTGCTACACCCATCTCTGACCCCCACAGGCCTGACTCTGGGGGACTGTTGTCATGTGATCAGGTAGGTTCTCTCACCTCCTGGGGCAGCTCAACCTTGCTACACCCATCTCTGACCCCCACAGGCCTGACTCTGGGGGACTGTTGTCATGTGATCAGGTAGGTTCTCTCACCTCCTGGGGCAGCTCAACCTTGCTACACCCATCTCTGACCCCCACAGGCCTGACTCTGGGGGACTGTTGTCATGTGATCAGGTAGGTTCTCTCACCTCCTGGGGCAGCTCAACCTTGCTACACCCATCTCTGACCCCCACAGGCCTGACTCTGGGGGACTGTTGTCATGTGATCAGGTAGGTTCTCTCACCTCCTGGGGCAGCTCAACCTTGCTACACCCATCTCTGACCCCCACAGGCCTGACTCTGGGGGACTGTTGTCATGTGATCAGGTAGGTTCTCTCACCTCCTGGGGCAGCTCAACCTTGCTACACCCATCTCTGACCCCCACAGGCCTGACTCTGGGGGACTGTTGTCATGTGATCAGGTAGGTTCTCTCACCTCCTGGGGCAGCTCAACCTTGCTACACCCATCTCTGACCCCCACAGGCCTGACTCTGGGGGACTGTTGTCATGTGATCAGGTAGGTTCTCTCACCTCCTGGGGCAGCTCAACCTTGCTACACCCATCTCTGACCCCCACAGGCCTGACTCTGGGGGACTGTTGTCATGTGATCAGGTAGGTTCTCTCACCTCCTGGGGCAGCTCAACCTTGCTACACCCATCTCTGACCCCCACAGGCCTGACTCTGGGGGACTGTTGTCATGTGATCAGGTAGGTTCTCTCACCTCCTGGGGCAGCTCAACCCATCTCTGACCCCCACAGGCCTGACTCTGGGGGACTGTTGTCATGTGATCAGGTAGGTTCTCTCGCCTCCTGGGGCAGCTCAACCTTGCTACACCCATCTCTGACCCCCACAGGCCTGACTCTTGGGGACTGTTGTCATGTGATCAGGTAGGTTCATTCACTTCCTGGGGCAGCTCAACCTTGCAACACCCATCTCTGACCCCCACAGGCCTGACTCTGGGGGACTGTTGTCATGTGATCAGGTAGGTTCTCTCACCTCCTGGGGCAGCTCAACCTTGCAACACCCATCTCTGACCCCGTACAGGCCTGACTCTGGGGGACTGTTGTCATGTGATCAGGTAGGTTCTCTCACCTCCTGGGGCAGCTCCACCTTGCAACACCCATCTCTGACCCCGTACAGGCCTGACTCTGGGGGACTGTTGTCATGTGATCAGGTAGGTTCTCTCACTTCCTGGGGCAGCTCAACCTTGCAACACCCATCTCTGACCCCCACAGGCCTGACTCTTGGGGACTTTTGTCATGTGATCAGGTGGGTTCTCTCACCTCCTGGGGCAGCTCAACCTTGCTACACCCATCTCTGACCCACACAGGCCTAACTCTGGGGGACTGTTGTCATGTGATCAGGTAGGTTCACTCACCTCCTGGGGCAGCTCAACCTTGCTACACCCATCTCTGACCTCTGACGCCTACATTGAACACTCCCCATCACAGGCCTGACCCCTGGGTACTGTTGTACTGTGATCATGTGGACACGCCCACATTGAACACTCCCCATCACAGGCCTGACCCCTGGGGACTGTTGTACTATGATCATATGGACACGCCCACATTGAACACTCCCCATCACAGGCCAGGGTACTGTTGTACTGTGATCATGTGGACACGCCCACATTGAACACTCCCCATCACAGGCCTGACCCCTGGGGACTGTTGTACTGTGATTATGTGGACATGCCCACATTGAACACTCCCCATCACAGGCCTGACCCAAGGGGACTTCTTATGTAATCAGATGATTCTCTACCGTCTCTGACTTCACAGACCTGATCTTACAGTGTAAAATATATTTTCTTTTTTACAGTAAAAAAAATGGTTTTATACCAATAAACACAAGTTTACATCTTTAAAAAAAAGTTTGTTTTTTTCACATGGAAGTGCTTCTATACTGAAAACTCATTATTTGTTCTGTTCTGTAAAATAATGATTTTTAAAACTCAAACATAACAAACAAGACATTCCCCACAGAATGGTATAACGTTGGTACCGGGATTAGCATTACCTTCCTCTGTATATGGGTGTTATGTTTTAGATATTGGTGATGGGGAAATACTTCAGGAAACAGTTACTGGAGTCTGTACATAGGGGTGCTTTTGAGCTGGCTTATGCAGGTTTTGTCAAAATGGCGGACATGCTCTGGAGGTTTGTATAGCAAATTTTAGTTTGGCTAAGCTTTTGTCAATCCTTGTTGAAAGTGTAATGGCTGACAGGTACAGTGAATTATTTAAATAGAAAAAAGAAAAAAAATGACCAAATGTTTCATTAGTACTGATTAAAATGTATGGCAGCTATGAATGATGGTAACTACAATGTGTGACATAGTTGATTTGATTCAGTGACATCAGAGAAGCTGACATGGTACCAGATATAAACAAAATGATGTGAAGTTTGACCTTGTTACATAGTGATCTTATAAAGCAGTTAGAATGCTGTCTCGTAGAAGTAAACTATTTATCTCACTGACATGATCTAACCTTCATTCAACCTCTATTGGAGTAAAAATCAAAGCTGTTGATCTATTCAGGAGTAACATCCAGGAGCTTCATGAGTTGCCACGGAGATGGCTTAAGGAAGTAATGGTGGACATTCAAGCAGACGACCCTGACTCCAAGTTGTGCTCTACTCGTAGGAGTGCCGGGGTGCCCTTCTACATCCAGGTCTAGTTCAAACACTTACATAACACAGATTTGAGAAACAAGTTATTGTACTTGTAGTGAATCTCTCTCCAAAGCTTCTGTATAATTTAGGATGTATAATTGTATTGGCATTACTGATGAGATTAAGGTTCAGGTAAAAGCTTACCTGACTTTTTCACCTGTTGTATATTGCAGACATTAATCACTACTGTGCCCACAAATACAAGTAAAATTTTACCTGACTTTTTGTACCTGTTGTATATTATAGACATTAGTCACCACTGAGCCCACCAGTACCGGTAGGTCCTGTTTTAAACAGGCAATGACTGATCTCCTACAGATGGCGCTGTTAGACAGTACAGGACTGGAGTCTGCCTCCAATCCACAGGTATGATAAACCCATTATTATAGTTACCTCCCCTTTTCACCACCTGTGCATAAAGGTCAAATTTACATCAGTATCCGTCCATCATATCTGTACACTACCTATAAAGGCCACCTCTGTATACCAGCATGTGTCAATGTGTCATATTTGTACACTATCTACATTGTGTAAAGGTCAATGTTGTACAATGGCACCTATATCTACATTGTATTAAGGTCAATGTTGTACAATGGCACCTATATCTACATTGTATAAAGGTCAATGTTGTACAATGGCACCTATATCTACATTGTATAAAGGTCAATGTTGTACAATGGCACCTATATCTACATTGTATAATTGTCAATGTTGTACAATGGCACCTATATCTACATTGTATAAAGGTCAATGTTGTACAATGGCACCTATATCTACTGTGTGTAAAGGTCAATGTTGTACAATGGCACCTCTTCTCACCAGCACCTGTCTGTAAAAGTCAATTCTGTCCAACAGGGGCTATCCCTAAAGTAAACCTCTGTAAAGCAACATCTATCTATAAAAGTTACCTCTGTACTATATCTTTAGTCATCTGTGAAGGTGACCTCTGTACTATATCTTTAGTCGTCTGTGAAGCTCACCTCTGTACTATATCTTTAGTCATTTGTGAAGGTCACCTCTGTACTATGTCTTTAGTCGTCTGTGAAGGTCACCTCTGTACAATATCTTTAGTCATCTGTGAAGGGCACCTCTATACTATATCTTTAGTCGTCTGTGAAGGTCACCTCTGTACTATGTCTTTAGTCGTCTGTGAAGGTCACCTCTGTACAATATCTTTAGTCATCTGTGAAGGACACCTCTATACTATATCTTTAGTCATCTGTGAAGGGCACCTCTATACTATATCTTTAGTCATCTGTGAAGGGCACCTCTATACTATATCTTTAGTCATTTGTGAAGGTCACCTCTATACTATATCTTTCGTCATCTGTGAAGGTCACCTCTCTACTATATCTTTAGTCATCTATGAAGGTCACCTCTGTACTATGTCTTTAGTCGTCTGTGAAGGTCACCTCTGTACAATATCTTTAGTCATCTGTGAAGGACACCTCTATACTATATCTTTAGTCATCTGGGAAGGACACCTCTGTACTATATCTTTACTCATCTGTGAAGGTCACCTCTCTACTATATCTTTAGTCATCTATGAAGGTCACCTCTGTACTATGTCTTTAGTCGTCTGTGAAGGTCACCTCTGTACAATATCTTTAGTCATCTGTGAAGGGCACCTCTATACTATATCTTTAGTCATGTGTGAAGGTCACCTCTATACTATATCTTTAGTCATCTGGGAAGGACACCTCTGTACTATATCTTTACTCATCTGTGAAGGTCACCTCTCTACTATATCTTTAGTCATCTATGAAGGTCACCTCTGTACTATGTCTTTAGTCGTCTGTGAAGGTCACCTCTGTACAATATCTTTAGTCATCTGTGAAGGTCTCCTCTGTACTATATCTTTCGTCATCTGTGAAGGTGACCTCTGTACTATATCTTTAGTAATCTGTGAAGGTCACCTCTGTACAATATCTTTAGTCATCTGTGAAGGGCACCTCTATACTATATCTTTAGTCATCTGTGCAGGTCACCTCTGTACTATATCTTGCGTCATCTGTGAAGGTCACCTCTCTACTATATCTTTAGTCATCTATGAAGGTCACCTCTGTACTATGTCTTTAGTCGTCTGTGAAGGTCACCTCTGTACAATATCTTTAGTCATCTGTGAAGGTGACCTATGTACTATATCTTTAGTCATCTGTGAAGGTCACCTCTCTATACATTATGGGTCTGTGAAATTTAACTCTGGATATCAGCATCTGTCAATTAAGGTCACACCTTTATACCTATAAAGGTCATCTCTCTAAGCCTACACATAAATGTCACCTGTTTATTGTAATAAAATAATAAAACACTTTAGAAAAGATCCAACTTGATGATCTTTATTCTTACTAATGAATTACAGTACAGAGAAAACCAGTAATTACAGCGTCATATATACAATCAACAAAGAGGACCGAATCATTTCTGTATTTATATACTACAACTTTACACAGATTGTTACTGTTAGACTGCTTGAACAATTCATTATATTATGAAAATTAACATAATATAGTTTGGTCTTTCAAAGTTAAATTAACTATGAGAAATGCATCAATTGATATTGTCGAGAATAGTCTGGCTTGTACTATTAAATAGTTGATATTGGTACATGTAGAAATTCCTGTCTTTTCTAGGTCACAAATGTTATTTTTCTGTTTTCTTTGTTCAACCAACAACATCTTTAGATAATTAAAAACATGTAATACAAAGTTTGTTTCCTCAAATCTGTAAAGACCAATAACAGAAGTAGTTTTCAAGTTTAACCTCTTCTTTTACATGTGATAGTTGATAAGGAATATTATTTTTTTCTACATGTTTTTAAAATTGATTATGCAATATATTTTATATATATGTATCTATTTTGCGCGACCATTATAATTGATGTTTTATTGGTTATTCCAAATATATAGTGTAACAGTCCCTAGAGGTACTGATTTATTTGTAGTACAACAGAGTAACTATACCATGTTTGCGATATACTATATTTTCTCTATACATTCCTGTCTTTACAGCAGTAGACAATATTGATTACGCCTTATTTATTATTCACTATTTCTAGTGGAAAAAAAACGACGAAGATATTTATAAAAGGCAACAATAGATAAAAATGAATGATACCATGAAACAGAGGTTCAGTATCAGAAGCATTTTTTAAAAGCTGTAGTAGTATTACTATGTAGTCTCAGTACATAAAAATGTATAATTAGCTGAAAAATCATCACATTTAATTCTAATCATCTGAACTTTTCCCTTAATTGATGTTTTAGTTCCTTTGCTAATGGTATTATCCAAAGCTGGTAACTTGAATTAATGTACCTAGCATAATCTGCTTTAATACAGAAAATTATATAAATCTTTATAAATATTTAGATGGCAAATAAACCAATTGTCAGTAATTATTGCTAAATCCCCAAAACAAAGTTAAGGGATTATTGTTTTTACTTTCTCTTATTATATTTACTTTAAAAATGTTGGAATATAATATGTCTTTTTCTTGCAAAGGAGAAAAGGAAATTTAAAAAATCATATAAATATGAGAGAAAGATTTGTATATCATTGTTTTTGTAATTCAAACTATAATTAATGTTTTTCTAAAATAAGAAAATCAAAATAAACAATAGTATAATGGTAACTGAATACACTTCTTGACATCAATATATTAATAAAATTTGTATGTGCTTGCAATGGTGTGATTCCATTACTAGTAACTAAATTATTTTGATATAAAAAAAAACTTCAATTGAATATTGATAATTATTTTGAATTGAATATTGTCTGAAATTCTATAGTACATGAATGTTGTAATCGCCGATCTGTTACCTTGGTGCTACTACACAGTACTACACACCCTGACAATGGGCTTGGAGAGTTCTACTGGCTTACCTAATGCTGACATCAGCTTGTCCTGTTTTGACCAGATGACCGTAGGTCAGCGACGTGATTCCTAGAAATGAGTGTAACACCTACTCCACTGAAATGTCCCCATACATGTCAATAAAATTATATCAGCCTGAATGTACCTGAAACACCTGATCAATTTATCAAAGTTTGCCACTTTGAGCAAAGAAACTCAAAAATCAGAATTTGGCACCGATCAATTTGTCAATATTTGCCACTTTGAGCAAGTAGCTAGAATGATATAAAGAACCTTAATAAAGCTTGTGTTTAATTAGAACCCAGTTTTAATGGTCATCTAAACATGGTCATCACAGAAAAAGATTACCTATTATAATACTGGCTCGTTAATATAGTGTAGACGTATGCCTGCTAAGTTACCTGATTTATAGGACAGTTGACAATTTGTAGGTCCATGCTTTGAACACCTTGAGGTCGCTGTACCGAGACACGAGACTTGCTGAAGATGTGGCATCGTTTGTAGCTGATGGACTACGAGCAGCCATTCTAGGCTTCCAGAATCCATTTTGGGCTGTGAGTTGGGAATGATATTTTTTAAACAGACTATCAGTGCTTTGATAATATTATTTTTAAGCTAAAAATGATAAAAAAAAAAAAAACTGTATTTAATTCTTACAATTGTATTATTATTATTTATTTTTTATTTATTTTTTATATATATATTTTATTTTTTTTAAATTCTATAAAATAATGAGAATTTACATATTTTGTTTTACAGGTGCGGAACTCAGCCACTCTGCTATTGAGTGCTCTGATAACACGTGTGTTTGGTGTAAAGAGAAGCAAGGATGAAGGCAGTGTGTCCAAGAAAAACTGGTAAGTCCTCTTACTGCCTTCAAAACATAAATAAAAATAACTCATTCAGATTGGTTTTATTTTAATGGAAATCCTTGAGGCATAAAACAGCCATTTGTTTATAACTGTATGATCTTTACATGTCTATCCAGTTAATAAGTCAACAAACACAATATACAGGTAGATGGTCACGCCCAATTAGATAATTATAAAGAGATTTAATTACTCTAATAGGACAGCATGCTTGTTATCACTTCCTGTGTGAGGGTCCCGAACTCCTGTTAAACAGTTATACCTGTGTAGAGCTGATGTGTTACTTCAGCTTTATCATGTGAAAGATACAAAACAAAAACCATAAACATTTACATTTCCGACCTTTTATGTCCTAATTATAAACACAGTTGTATAGACTAGATTTGATATAACATCATTTATAAATTATTCTTAAGATAATTTCATAATGTTAAGATTATCAGAGACGTATAAAGCATATACGTCTCTGAGATTATAAAAATATTCCTGTATTTTCAAAAAAATTGTCAAATTATTGACTTGGTCAAATTTTATTATAACTTTTAAAACAAAAAATAACAAAGTATTCAAAATGTTTAAATACTTTGATATTGGTACCTGTAAACTTTCCCGCCAAATAGGTTTGATTAGATAGAGAACGACAGATATGACTGTAGGCAGTCGTAGGCAGTTACTTTAATTATACTGGTAATATTAATCAGCCTTGATACAAAATATTTACAAACATTTTATTTAGGAACATTAATATGTAAAATAACATTTAGATATGTTGATAGTTAATAAAATGTTAGTTTTGTTCATCAAAAACATTTGATCATATACTGACTTTTCAGCATTTACGTTAAATAGTGTAACTTATTCTACACAGATAACAGGCAATATTGTTTGAAAAAAAGTTTTTATTAAAAATATATAGGTAGCTAAAAAGGGCTTAAGTTGTTCAATAAAAGTAACTGATATTTATTTTTTTAATACAAAATATTGACTTTGCATAAAATACATTGTAGTACATATACTACCATCTAATTAACAAAATGCTTCAAAAATATTTTCTTGTGAATAAAATTATTTGTTTTTATATATATAAGTTAATTTAATTTTTCATATCAATACAAATAAATATGATGTAAAAAGTTGTGATAAACAAACAGCATGTCAAACAGGATTTAGAATAAATCCATGATTTTTGTTATAAAGGTAGGGATTGATATTGTGATTTCAATCTGACAAACCCATTAATTAGTATTACATGTCAGGTAGCATGTTTAGTACTAGATACACTGTGTGATAAGGGCCCAGACAGGCACCCACAGGTGTGAGAACATGATTAGATCTATCCCCCAGATAACCAGCTTACCTGTACACATAACTACTGTTAGGCTGGCCTAGTCCCTTACAACACTCTAGCCCTAAGCTGACACTTGCCACAAGGCTAATCAAAGCTGTGTCCTGATTGGTCAATATGACCAACTCAGCATTTACCTGAGTTCTCATTGGTTGAGCTCCAGACATGGAGATTCAGTTGTTACCTGAGCTAATTGGTAGTAATGGTTACCTGTAGTTCTTTTGTAAATTATTATTGAAAAAAATAAAATTCCTGATTACAATTTATGGTCTGAGTGCACCGGTGTCAAAGTGAGTGACCACTAGCTGAAACTTGACCAGGATGTATATAAGCTGGGTCAGACCAAAATGGTCAGTATCGAATGAGATTTCAAACAGTAAGGACATTGGCAAAATTAAATCAGTATTACTACCTAAAAATATTTACAAATCAGAAACTGGTGACATCATGTTTTTGGATGTTACATTTAGTGCTGGAAGTGGTGTGTTTAATCGTCGTAAGTCCATCAGTGCTAAGTGTGTTCTGGACATTACTCTAAACCCTGGATTGACCGGCGCTTCTCTTGATAGAGTTGAGCAGTTTGATAAAGTCTTTAAAAAGCGTAACAGACGCAGGAAGAGCTCAGAGCACATGCAGCTAAAGAAACTGGCTAAGAGGAATGCTACTTGTCTGTCAAATCTACATCATTCCCTTGCAGCCATCGAGATAGAAGCATCCACTCGCCTGTCCACGACATGCATTGCAGACGACGCCTCTGACAACGATGACGAAGGCGTAGGATATATATCATCATGGGCTGTCTCCTTTGACAAACTACTACTTTGTGGTGGCGGTCTCTCAGTGTTCACAGAGTTTCTCAAGAAAGAATTTAGTGAGGAAAATATCCTATTTTGGAGGACATGTGAACAATACAAGAGCATTTGTGATCCTGATCAGAGGAAAGCTGCAGCTAAGGACATATACAACAAGTATGTAGCGGAGATTGCGCTTGATGCTGTGAACATAGACCATAGTGCCCGACAACAAGTGGAGAGTGAACTTCCTACGCCCAGTGTGTTTACATTTGATCAACCTCAACAGGACATTTACAGGCTCATGAAAACAGACAGTTACACAAGATTCCTCAAATCCGAGTTGTACAAGACCTACCTGATGCGGGAGATGAACAACGAGCCCCTCGGCCTTCCCAGGGATGACTTCCAGGGGATTCTGGGTAACAAAGATAAGAAAAAGACAACAAAAGGAAAAGGAAAGGATGCTGAGGACAGCTCTAAATCCAAGAAGCGTTTGTCTCTGTTGCCATGGAAACAAAAAGCCATGAAACCAGCCGTGAAAGCGAAGTCCGATTCTGACCTTAAGAAGAATAACTGTAGTTCTCTGACAAACAAACTCACATCTGACTCTGATCTGAAGACACACCGCTGTATTTCTGCTTCATGTGGTTCTGTCAACACCGATGTCAACAACATGACCTCAACACGACCCGGACTGGCAATTGATCTTGAAACCATTCACAAGGAGATCAAAGCCAACAGCAAAGAGGTAAGCATACTGAAACACATGTATAGGGCTACTTATTATAAAAATAAATACAATATTGATTAGATAGGGTAACAACAAGAACATGGAGAGATCTGTGTTGTAGGACTGTAAACAGATATCAATCTAGATAGCATCACATTACACCCAACAGATAACAACAAACACATGTTTTATACTAAAGAATCCTACTGCATCTGAAATTTGATTCTGAAATTTATTTTTAAAAAGATGTTGCAATTATTGTACATTATGAGAAATGACCTTATCAATCACTTGTTATTTCCTCCCATGTTTTATCCCTGATTGTCACGCCATATTTTATTAATTGATGTTTAATTTTTCTTTTCTTTTTCTTTTAACCAAAGATTGCCAATGACAACGAAGATGACTTCCATTTTTGCCGTGTGATCTTACCGGATGGGTCGACAACTGTGGTTAGCACCAAGCCTGGTCTCACCATTGCCACAGTGTTAGGACAGCTTTGTACCAAAAGGAGCATCCCGTTCAAAGCCATTGACGTTTGCCTTGTTGGATCATCAGAACCCCTGGACCTTACATTGGACATCTCTACACTGGCTTCACTAGAGATCACCATCGACAGGCGTGTTATGTTCTGTGTTGAGCTGCCTAACGGAAAATCTATCGGAGTGAAGGTGAAGCCTCATCGTTCTATTGGAGAGGTCCTGACACCTGTCCTCAAGAAACATGACGTCAAGTTAAATCAGGTGTGTGTGCAGATGTCGGGACAGAAAAGGGTGTTAGACATCAATCTGGACGCTCGTGTGTCAACCATAGACAATCGTTGCCTTCTCCTGAAACAGGACACCACACCCAGACAGCGGCGGAGATCCTCGGTCCCAGCGTTCATCTCGGGGAGGAAGGAGAACAGAAGTGGTCATCCTGAGGGGAAGACACTGCTGGAAAGTGAAGTGTGACATAGTTCCTCTTACAATTCTGTAACTTAAACTTCAGAAACAGTTTACTATGACATTATCAACTGGATATTCCAGTTTGAGTGTTTCAGACTTGAGTGCTATATCAATGTGCTAGATATGTAATTTATAATAATAAAAACTACCAAGTTTGAAGTTTGCTATTGCATTTGTATTTATCATTACCATGACAACACATGTCTATAACAAACCCTTAGTGACATAAGCTGAATTTAGCAATATGTTCTCTACAGTGAAACATGATGATTTAAGGGAAAGCTTTCTATTGTGGTCAGGTGATGAGGTACAAACTCCAGTTGAGCACGCGAATTCACATTTACAAATTAAAGTCGTAGATAGCTTCACTATTTATTCAATTTTACATGCTCAACAGAAATAATAGACTCATAACCTGACCAACATAGAAAACTGTACCTTATACTAACGGTGAATAGTGCATAACTTTTTTACACATAAATCTGATCAGCGGATATAGATTCATTATTTAAAACATATTATCATACAAACAGTTTTATGAAAGTCTCAGTCTGAAATGTGTGTAAGCCTTGATCTTTGCCAGAACTGTCCTAGCTTTAATGTCCATCAAACAATTAGCTTCCAATAAACATAATTATCCTTTAAAAGCTGAAACTTGATATAAAGGAATCTTTAATTACAAAAGAACAAATTCTGCATCCTGACCATATACCAGTATGTAAGCTTTATGTTGGTTTTGAGGAAAACCCTGTCTGGGTTGTAACTTTTAAACCATAAAGATATCTTGATGAAAATTGCAATATACATGCATCAGCCACGTAGACGATGTGTAATGCACTGTATTTGGTCAAAAGCTGAATACATACAAACTTTTCAATTGTAACTAAAACTTTGAGGGTGTTGTGGCTTTCTATGTCATAACTTCCTTACTGCATTTCTACATACATGTATATTTTTTTCATAATTAAGTAGTAGTTAGTTCCCCTTGTAACCTTAACATGTTGAAGAAAACTAGATTATAGACAGTTATTTGACTTTATTAGCATATTATTAATTTGCAATGGAAGGGAACAAATATTGGCTAATAAGGAGAGACATGTGTTTCTGTTCACAAAACCTCTAGTTAACTACGGTATAATGTTCACGTTATATAAAAGCTTGATGCAATGCCTTTATTATGCATGGTTCACAAAATTTACCCTATACATCTAAACACTATTGAAAAATTCTGATGCCTTTGGACATAAATACTGTAATGTAATGACAAAATCTAGATGTGTCTGGGGACACAGTGTACCTGGGTTATATCAGTCAACTACCAAAAGGAGTTTTATGACCTCCTCCAGTGTATACAAGTGTTCAGGCTACAACCTCGAGTTCCAGGTTTGACTTGCAAGATGCAGTTAATTTAATTCTGCAGAGTCAACACAGAATAGCATTTGTCTAAGCAGAAAAAATGGTTCATACTATTTCCATTGGTTCACTAAGAGAAATGGTTCATGAAAACTACAAACATTACAGGACAAGTCTACATATATCCCTAGCTTTATCAGTTATTTTTATTTCCCCACAGCCAGACAGGGAGGGCCTTCTTCCACCGGTATCCTTCACTTTACAAGTTTCTGTTGGACCAACTAGCCACAGCAACAGAAAATATCGGGTAGGTCATCTTCTCAAAACAATGCCTGAAATGTAATAATAAAATTAACAACTAAAAATGTATCTTTATAGCTCATGAAATTGATACCAGTTTAGTGAATTTACTTGCTTCTGAAAAGTGATGTCTGAAGAATTGTTTACTTGTGTAAAGAGCTAAAGCAGGAGAAATGTAACTTAAATGTTGAATTTTAATAAATGAATGTTACTTTCAATGATATGAGCATTGAATTGATTGAGGTGGCGTTCTTAGTCAGTGTTAGTACAAAATCAACATTCAGTTCCAACACACTTCATAGACTTTGGGACATTCTAGCCTGCATTTATGTTGACTAGGAATGTCAACTAAAAGCAGTTCAATGCTGAAATGATTTTAGGTGAAAATCAGTCTGAATCCATGCGACAAGTAATATTCAGATGAGTTACTGTAAATATGTTTGTTGAAATGATTTTAACTATACAGGAACTCTGAGGGTGCATTACACCTCCATCCCTCACTCTACCCCATACTGATGGTCCTTGGGAGGTTGTTCCCGTCACACCTAGAGGGCGCTGACACCAGCCTCAATCTGGCCGCATTTATACCCTACGTCATTAGGTATGTATGGCTTCAAAACCTACAAAGTGTAGCCAGTATGTAAATCATTACTGACTCAAAGCTAGGTAACTACCCATAGTAAATGTATCAGCAAGTATATACTCAGGAGAGTAAAAGCATCACTACAGCATAAAGACCTTATTGTTGAGAAATATCAATGTAAAATGTTATTAACAAATCATTTCAGCATTGCTAAGAATTGAGTTCCCTGTAGATAGAATTTGTTATCAAGTTTGAGACTCTATTGAGAAAATTCATTTTGACAGGAAACCTAATTATAATTTTCTTGTAAGCGTGATTTCACAATAACATTGTAATATGGACAGACAGTAGAACAGAGTAATACATGTGTTAATGGCTGGTGTCCTTACTTAGATGTAGTTCCAGTGCTGTGTTCATGGCTGGTGTACTTACTTAGATGTAGTTCCAGTGCTGTGTTAATTATGGCTGGTGTACTTACTTAGATGTAGTTCCAGTGCCGTGTTAATGGCTGGTGTACTAACCTAGATGTAGTTCCAGTGCCGTGTTAATGGCTGGTGTACTTACTTAGATGTAGTTTCAGTGCCATGTTAAAGGCTGGTGTCCTTACTTAGATGTAGTTCCAGTGCTGTGTACATGTGTTAATGGCTGGTGTACTTACTTAGATGTAGTTCCAGTGCCATGTTAATGGCTGGTGTACTTACTTAGATGTAGTTCCAGTGCTGTGTTAATGGTTGGTGTCCTTACTTAGATGTAGTTCCAGTGCTGTGTTAATGGTTGGTGTCCTTACTTAGATGTAGTTTCAGTGCTGTGTTAATGGCTGGACCTACTTAGATGTAGTTCCAGTGCTGTGTTAATGGCTGGTGTACTTACTTAGATGTAGTTCCAGTGTTGTGTTAATGGCTGGTGTTCTTACTTAGATGTAGTTCCAGTTCTGTGTTAATGGCTGGTGTACTTACTTAGATGTAGTTCCAGTGCTGTGTTAATGGCTGGTGTATTTACTTAGATGTAGTTCCAGTGCCGTGTTAATGGCTGGTGTCCTTACTTAGATGTAGTTCCAGTGCTGTGTTAATGGCTGGTGTACTTACTTAGATGTAGTT